TTGAAAAATAATTCTACACTAACTAGAACTACTATAGTCATTTTTTGCAATAGTAACAAAAATAAGATAATGAGAAAGAAAGTCTGGAAAGCAAAATGTTCATGTGCTGTGTGGTAGAAAATAAACATTTCTGTTTTTTCTTTGATAACTCTAAAATATAAATGATAATTGGTACAGAAAGTATTATAACTTTTATATAAATACTAGCTAAAAGTTGCCCATTATTTTATCTACACTTAACCATTTTGATGTGCTCATTTCTGTGAGATTTTCCTCAAGATTTGATATAGTTTTTAAAAAGTCTACTCTAGAAGAATAAAATAAAGGAACCTTTACCAAACTATCTCCTTTCACCAGTAAAATTTATCACAATCAGTGACAATTACAGTTTGGGGAATTCTGGATGTAAGTCCGTATGAATGGCCAGACTATAATATACTATCTTTTTGGGTCCAATCCTGCGAGATAGAGTCCCACCCAAGAGGTACAGAGTATCCTCAACTTCATTGAACTCAGAGAGAAAGCACAGAACCTTCTAGGAGGTACTCACCTTTTTGCAGAATTAGGCACTTCATGCTTTGTTGCCCATTAAAGGCCATTAGATGTTGCCCATTAGAGGCCAATTTACAGAGAGGATAAGGAATCTATTAGGATTTAAATGGTAAAGGCTTTCATATTTTTTTGTATAGGTGGAAAATAAGAGATCTAGTCACAGCTCACCACTGGGGGTTATTTATATAATAATTATCTTTCGATTGCAGTATATGTGTTTGTTACAATATTTCAACTCCTGGTATAGCCCTCTACTAGTACACCCCTTGTCCTTAAGAGTAGAAGGCTATGTTATATCTACACTGCAATTAGACACCTATAGTTGGCCCATGCCAGCGGACTCAAGCTCGTGGGGCTCAGTCAAAGAGGCTGTTTGATTGTGGTGTAGATGTTTGACTCAGGCTGCTGCCCACACTTTGGCACCCTCCCACCTTGCAGAGTCCTAGAGCCCCGGCTCCAGCCTGAGTCTGAACATCTACACCACAATTAAACAGCTCCTTAGCCTGAGCCAGGGGGTTTTAATTGCAGTGTAGACATGCCCAAAGAGGCCACTTGCTTTTCCCTTCTAAGAAACTCTCTGCCCCACCACAGGACCACTGGGTTAATGGCACACCTCAAGTTGTCAATCTATAGACTACATAGTGCCTCCGTCTAGTGGTCAGGTGAATACATGCTTATATATAACCCCTCTGATACCTACGACATTAACAATATATTTAATAGGAATCAAGAACCAAAAAGTTGTAGGAAAACCCCTCCCAACATTTAAGAGAAAGGGTTTGGGTTACATAAAAAGAAGAGGGGATAAGTAGGAACCATGGGTAAAAGGAAGGTCAGGGAAATCAAGGGGAAGAGAGATACCAAAGTGTTAACTCCACAACAATAATCAAACACCCCTCCCCTCAAATAATCACATCTTTTGCAATAATTAAATACAATCTGAATTCTACAAACAGAATATAAAAGAAAAGAGAGTCCAATCGTAAAGTCTACCCACAGATCTCAGCTGGTCAGTATGTACACACTGTCACTTGTGTTAGAGCTCTTTAGGATTGATTAAAGAAAAGTAAACTTGCCGTTGTTTTTATGTCAGAGCCCTGACCATCATTTGGGTGCTGACACTATCCTTCAACTCTCTGTAATCCTTCGCCTGTCTTTACACTGAAATTAATTGAGTCTCTTAGACAAGGTCTTGAATGACCTCTGGGTATTTCCTAAGAGTAAGTGAAAATACTCACCTGGTATATCTACACTGGAGCTGAAGGTGTAAATTCCAGCTTGAGTAGATGTACCTGTCTGATGGAGCTACCATGCTAAAAATAGAATGTAGCTGCAGCTGCATGATGGGCTAGCCATTCCAAGTATGTACCCATCCAAGTACATGTCCTCAAAGTCAAAGTGGAATTTACACCTCCAGCCCAAAGTGTAGACACACCCAGTATTGGTACAGTATCATACTGTGAGACAGATTGCTCTCTGGACTGGAGAGCAGGTCTCTGTGTTGCTCAAATACTAATCCTCCCTTGACTTTCTGTGCTAGGGAGGCCTAGTAGGTGAGGCTGGCCTTCTATCTGTTCCTTCTGGATAGTAATCTGAGAGCTGCTTCCCTCCTCTTCGCTTTGTCCACACCTGGGCAGGTTGGCCTCCTCTCTTTCTGCTGGTTCTATGTTGTGGCTGGTGATTGCTTGAGTGGAGGGACGGGCTTTTCTTTGTCCAATGCCTGCTATAGCCAAGCTGTTTTGGCAATAGCTGACTGAGTGGTGAAACTGGGTGCTGTGAATGAGCTGGGCTCCTTTCACTAGCAGGTAAAAGGGATTTACCTCTCTTCTACCGTGTAGAGAGCAACCGAACAACTTCACCTGTCTCTACTTCTGAAAGTAAACTCCCCTATTTCCCCCACAAACAATGTTTGGGCTGGATGCACATAACTGGGAGTCCCAGCCACATGCAGACATTGTTGGGTGCAGTTGGTTGACCAGGAGTGTCAGTCACTCTTCTCTCTCAGCAACTTCCCCTCTTCTCTGGCCAAACACCCCCTGTCAGGGTCTCATGCACAACAAATGGGTAGCCACTTTCCATTTCCCAGCCTCTGTCTCTGTGCTGCGGTCTGTCTGTGGAAGCTGCTTCTTGCAAACCCCTATAATATAAAGGAAAATACAACTGCTAGCATGTGAAAATTGGGCTACATATCACTGGAAAAGTAATTTCCTCTACAGTTGTAATAAAATTCAGATTTGACCTAATGGTCTCTATGCTGTGATAATGAATGTAGATTATATCCCCTGCTCTTCTACTGGCTTGCTGTATGACTTTGGGGAAGTCACTACACCTATTTGTGCCTCAGTTTCCTCATCAGTAGAATGAAGATAGTAATAGTGTTTACCTTCTTTTGTAAATATACAGATAAAAAGTACTTATATAAGACTCAGCACACTGGTGTCCACTTAGAGACTGGGACCAGAACAAGTTTTGATAAGCTAAACCTTCCCTCCCACAGCAGGACCTGTAGGTCAATGGCTCTTGTAATGTTTACCACCTTGTAGCAACAGGGGAGAACCAAATCCTCTTTGTAACTATTTAACTGTGTCTCTCATGTTTGAGATGTCTTAAACATGATTGTTGTTATCCTTAGCTACTGGCAACAATTCCTGCTTGTATGAAGTGACTCTTGCCAATTCAGCCTTTATATTAAATTTTCTTTCAATTGAGCCTTGATATATTGACAGAATCCACCTTCTACTAGGACTCAAGGAAAAAATTAGTAATTTTGATGTATCAGCAGAATTACGTACTTAATGACTGATTCTTTCTCATATGCACAGAGTTAAACTGAATGCCAAATTTGGGGTTTGGAAAGAGGTTTCTCTGTGCAAGGACCTTGCAATTTTTTTTATTTCTGTAACATTAATTGGTACTCATCTGTTAAGATCAAACGGATGTATATATATATATATAATCAAATGGGATTATATATATATATATATATATATATATAAAATCTCAATTAATTTCCTGAGGATTTGGGGGAGAGAAAGGAGTGACAATTCCTTTTTTTATTTTTTTGAGGTCTGATACTGGAAATATTAGAAAATTTAGGACTATTCTGTACAGTTCTCTTTAGGTGGTTGTACAAACAGAAATGTGCTCTCTAGATTGCAGAAAATTATACAACAGGTAAATAAAATGGATTTAGCATTTACTACTGTGAATAATCCCACTGAAATCAATGGGTTGTAAGTACGTACTACACCCTGTAATACAGGTTTGCTGGGGTAGTCCCTAAATTAAGACTAGAACAAACAGGAGACAACAAAGCAAGGAGAGGTAGGGTAAGGGAGGGGAAAATAAGATTTTGTGGGCCAGTGGGAGGCTCATGTATGTATTAGGAAGTAGCTTGTTTTCTTTAACTTCTTATTGCACAATGGATAATACTGAAAGTACAGGAGGCCAGAATAGCTACTGCTGCTGGAAGCCATGAGCTCTGAGGAGTTACAGGGTGAAAAGCAGGATATGGTGGATGGCAGGGAGCAGCAAGACAGAAGGGGTGCATGTGGGCATGGGCACACATGACTATGTAGAGTCCTAATGCCTGTGTGGGGAGCAGGGGCGTTGGAACAATTTATAGAGTGCAGATACTGAAAGCCATTGAACAAAACTGTAAACTGTGCATCTCAGGAAAACCACTTCTGGCCAAAGGCTGCTGCCAGACTCCTAGCACCCTGGTGGGGAGGATCCTGACCTTGCTTTCCCCACACTCCAGAGGCTAAAGAGCAACATGCAGCAGGTCTACGCTGGCTCCCGCGTGTGGCATATGTACACTGCACCCCCCCCGACCCCAGTACGGGTACAACTAGCAGTGAAGGACAGCGAGGCACTGCCTAGGCGCGCACAGACGCACAGCAGCCTAGGGGTGTGTGTACCATACATGGCTCTCTACGCCCCCATGCAAAGCCTTTGCTGCCATTTTTAGCAGCTGCACAGCTGCACGGCTGCCAGACGCTTGAAGGGGCTATGCACGAGCCCCGTCGGGGCCAACCGCCGGCCAACCGCTCTTGAGAAAGGGGGAGGGTGGAGTAACTCTCTGGCAACGTTTTAGCCCCGCCCTTTGGCTCGCGCAGTCCGCTCTCCCCCTCCGTCTTCTCCTCCGAGTGCGCGCGCAAGCGCTCTCTTAGCCCCGCCTCCTGGCGCGCGCGGCTCCCGCGGTCTTCCCCGAGCGCTTCTCCTTCCCTAAGCCCCGCCTCGCGTCCCTCTTGGGCCCGCCCTTTTGGCGCGAGCAGCCGCGCCCCTAACACCGGCGCACGCTCCCTGTTGTTACGGCGGGTCTAACGCCCCCTCCCATCACCCGCAGCCGCTCTGCTCGCTCCCTCCCTCCCTCCCTCGCCTGCGGACGTGGAATAAAGCGGCAGAGGGTGAGTGTGAGCCCCCTGCTCTCCGCTAGTCCCTGCCGTGTCTGCGCCGCCGGGAGAGGAGGAGCCTCCCTCGCCCATCCCTGAGTGGCCCGGGGTCCGCTCACGGCTGGCACCCCAGAGAAGCCGGGCACTGGGGAGGGCCTAAGGCGTCAGGGGTGCAGGAGTACTGGGGCGTTGGTAGCGGGCAAGACTGCGCGTACGCTTACTCTTCTCTAGGACCCTGCCGAGTTGCTCCAACTTTGCCCTCTCCTCCTCCACCCCTCTCCGAGCTGTGGTCGGGGTGGGGCTGGACTGCCCGGATTGCGTTTTGCAGATTTGCAAAGGAAGTAGATCACCCGTTGCTACCTACATTTAATAACCATCAAATTGTCTTCCTTTCGAAGTAGGTCCCGTGGCTTTTCACATCATAGAATTGGTTTCTGCTAATTGGGATTTGAACGTGAGCAAGTGAATTAGACTGATTTTAGGATTAGCTGGAATTTGTGATAACCAGAGCCAGGGTGGTCTTAACGCTTTTCCCCTCCGTGCCTGAATCACTCACAGGTGTGTTGAAGTGTGAAAGATCTGTTTTGATGCCCTTCACAGCTGCCTTTTATCTGGTCAGTGCTATCTTCTGAATTACAATACAATATTAATATTTAGATCATTGCTTCTTCTTGGAGCAAAAGTTATGTCTCCTTGTTTGAAAACTGAGCATACTGATGGCACTTTATGAATAAAAACATGAAGTAGATAATGTGAACACAATTTTTTTACTGGAGAATAAACAAGTTTTTTGTCTGAAAACCTTTGTATTAAATTTATTCAATAAAATGTATTACATTAATGAAATTAATATTCTATATTTTCTTCAATTCCAAAGTATCATGAAACAGTTGATTTATAACAAGGTCAACATACTTTCTGTTTACTAACAGTAACAGCTAAACAGTAATTGCATTTCTCCTTCTGTTACCCGTAGAGTGCTGGCGTTTGTGACACATCTAAGTGGATGTGGCATGCCTTTCTGGGGCATGTCAACTGCACTCCATGCTACCTTCTAGATGTACCCCTTGGACCATCAAGCAGTAGATGTAGGAAGGGTGTTTATTATTTGTACTGAGACTAGGGTGCCAATTGCTGTACACACACCTAAGTAAACTGAGTGCAATTCTTCTTGGAAGGATGGATATAAAATGGCATAAGGGAATTCTATGTTTGTGTGTCTCTAGTTTCTTGATCAAATACGATCGTTTTTTTCTTATGTTGTGTATCATCACAAATAGTAAAGATTCTACGGGCCAGGTTATAGTCTGTTACATCTGTGTAACCCTGTCAGGGCTGGCTCCAGGCACCAGCTTTCCAAGCACGTGCTTGGGGCTGCATTTAGAATTGGGCGCCAGTCCGTGTCACGCGGCGGCAATTCGACTGCAGCTCCACCCCGAACCCTTTTGCCTCCAGATAACATCGTTGGTGACACTTGTGCAATCTCAAACAGGAGCAACAAGATGGAATAGAACAGGGGTCGGCAACCTTTCAGAAGTGGTGTGCCGAATCTTCATTTATTCATTTTAATGTAAGGTTTCACGTGCCAGTAATATATTTTAACGTTTTTTAGAAAGTCTGTCTCTATAGGTCTATGTATTATATAACTAAACTATTGTCGTATGTAACGTAAACAAGGCTTTCAAAATGTTTAAGAAGCGTCGTTTAAAATTAAATTAAAATGCTGATTTTACACCGCTGGCCTGCTCAGCCCTCTGCCAGCCTGGGGTTCCGTTCACCTAGGCTGGCAGCAGGCTGAGCAGGACCTGCGGCCGGGACACCGGCTGGCAAGGGGCCGGCAGCCAGACCCCCAGACCGGCAGCAGGCTGAGCCGCTCAGCCTGCTGCCACTCAGCCCGCTGTTGGTCTGCGGTTCCATCTGTTGGCTCCTGCCAGCCAGAGTCACGGCTGCCAGCTCCGCTCAGCCCGCTGCCAGTCTGGGATCCCAGCCCTGCCCACATAGAGTGGGTACCTACCATCTCCCTGGTTCTAGCCCATTCTCTTCCTCTCTGCACTGAGCTGAGGGTGGGAGTGCACTGAGCACAGGGCTGGGGGTGAAGGAGCAGGCTGGGGGTTGGGGTGTAGGGTCTGGCCAGGAGCTAGAATGAGGGAGGGGGCTCAGGGTTGGGGCAGGAGGTTTGGGTGTGGAGTGCGTACCTGGGGAGCTCCCATTTGGTGTGAGGGCACAGGTGGGAATGGGGGTGTGTGCAGGAGCTCTCGTTTGGTGCTCAGGGTGGGGGTGGGAATGTGGGGGGTGCCGGAGTCAGGGCATGGGGGGGGCTGGGAGTATGTGAGGGGGGTGCAGGGGTCAGGGCAGAGGGCTGGGGGTGTGGGCTAGGGTCGTGGGGGTGCTCCCAGCCCCCTGCCCAGAGTGGCTCATAGCAGGGAGCTGGAGGGGATATGCCCTGATTCCACCCCCCTTCTCCACCTCCTCCCTGGAGCAGCGAGTGCACTGCGGCTCCGCTTCTCCCCCTCCCGCGCAAGGGCCATCAGCTGATCGGCGGCAGGGAGGGAGAGGAGGAGGGGCAGGAACCCAACACGATGGGGAAAGAGGCCGGGGAGCGGGGACCTTGGCTGCTTTGCAGCAGCAGCTGGCATGACCAAGCTTCTTCACCCTGCCCCCTGGGGGGGGGCGGGGGTGGAGAAGAGCAGGCCAGGGCAGGCAGGATTTTTAATGGCACGCTGCTGCCTGCTGGGGTCCTGGCCTCCGGCCCTGTTCAGCCTGCTGCCGGCCTGGGTTCGACAGCGGTCTGAGTGGGGCCGGCGGCTGGGACCTGGCAGGCAGCAGGGTGCCATTAAAAATTGGCTCACGTGCCGTCTTTGGCACGTGTGCCATAGGTTGCCGACCCCTGGAATAGAATCTTCACCACTTGCGCAGTTCTGTAGTGCTAACAGGAGTAAGAAATCTTTTTTGTGACTAAAATGAGAAAATATGATGCTGAATACGTAAAAGGAGAAGATAATTTTGAATAAGAAGCTGCCATTCTTTCTGCAGGACACTTTCAGAGCAGAACAATACTTCAATAAAAGGTTTGAGAGTAGCAGCCGTGTTAGTCTGTATCCGTAAAAAGAAAAGGAGGACTTGTGGCACCTTAGAGACTAACAAATTTATTTGAGCGTGAGCTGTAGCTCACGAAAGCTTATGCTCAAATAAATGTGTTAGTCTCTAAGGTGCTACAAGTACTCCTTTTCTACTTCAGTAAAAGATACTGTCAGCTAATAGAACTTACCATTTATCCAGTGCTAATCATATTGAAAGCTTTTTACAAACATTGACTAATTTTCACAACATCCCTTGGGGACAGAAAAGTATTACCCCCATTTTAAAAATAGGAAAACTAAGGCAGAGAGTTGAAGTAGCTTGTATAAAACAACACTGCGTTAGTCTCAGAACCAAGATTAAAATTCCTGATTTCCAGTCCTATTCTCATTCTTCTAGATCATTCTGTCCGTACAGATTTACATCTAAAATGTAGATTTACATTTTTATGAACCTAGTAGCATTCATAATATATTAACTTAAAATGTACACATTTTATTTCAGCATTGTGAACACCAAATGCAACAGGATTGTGTTATGTATGAGAACTAGCAAGTGAAACTGACCAGGCTAATAAATGATAAATTAGCTTTTTAAACATGATTTCAGTTTTAATATTTTAAAAAGATAGGGAAGAAATTATTGTTTAAATTGAGCTGTGTGTTGACTGTATCTCTGTAATTTGTAGCCTTACCTATACTGGAAATACCCTTTCCTGTATGCTTCATGGAGAAATCCAGAGAAGCTGTTGTGAAAAATGGACATTCTGCATAGGATAGATATAATCTTGTTGACTTTGAATAAGAGAGAGAGAAAAAGTACTTACAGTCAAAGACAATGGATGAAATTCTGGCCCCATTCAAGTCAGTAGCAAAACAAAATTTCCTCCAATGAGGTTATATCTAGTCTGTTGTTCTCATGTACTGAACAGGCAGATGACCAATTTTTCTTTTGACAGTGACTCCTAAGTTGCTCTGTGAAGCATACAGAAAAAAGATAGGTTTCAGAGTAGCAGCTGTGTTAGTCTATATCCACAAAAAGAACAGGAGTATTTGTGGCACCTTAGAGACTAACAAATTTATTAGAGCATGAGCTTCCGTGAGCTGCAGCCCACTTCATCGGATGCCTAGAATGGAACATATAGTAAGAAGATAGATATAGATAGATATATTTATTCTTGCAGCACATTTTATCCAAGTGTTTAAGGAATAATGTCAACATAAAACTTCAGTTCAAGTCAGTGAGACTACTCGTGTAAAGCTATGCACATGCTTAATTCTTTGCAACCTAGCTTTAGGTTCCTGTCTGTGCCACTAACTTGCTGTGTGATATTAAGCAAGTCCCTTAATTACTGTGCCTTACTTTACCCATCTGTAAAATGGGAATACTATTTACCTACTTACCTAACAGAGGTGCTGTGAAGTTTCAATTAGTGTTTGTAAAGAAGGCTTGCAAAATTTTCATGAAAACTTATCACCTCAGGCTCATAGTCTGTTTACCCACCCTTATCGAGATCATTAAAAACCAAACAATGTTATTCATCACCTGTCTGTCAAAATTTGTTTTCTCAACTGGGTAAGGGCAAAATATATTGTATTACAGAATAAATACATTAGTATTCTTTTTATTAACATTTTTAATTCTCTGATAAATGTGCAAAATTAACATTTTCAGGCTCTTATAATGTCTCTTAATTTAGTAACAGTTGTCACTGATTTTACTCCGTTGGGAAAAGGGAGATGGCCTCAGTGTCCTCCCTTATTTTTCTCTTCCATTTATTTATTTATATTTTTTTGCTTCCTCACTACCGCTGCCACCATCAATGTGCTATACATGGTGGCAACAGTCATCCTAGATAAATAGAATGGGATATAGCTTCAGCCAAAGTCAGGCAACGTTACGTTGAGTGACGCCCAGTGAAGTTTATTCAAGTGCTGCATAGCACTTCCCTCCAGCAGGCACTGAGCATGCTACCCACAGTATGCCTCCGTTCACATGCTAACTACAAACAAGTAGTTTGTAGCAAAGTTTCTTTTTCTGCAGACTGTATACTGTAGTATTTTTAACATTGCATGTTTGTTGTCTTTTAGCATTTCGCAAATTGTCAAAGGATGAAAGAAAGCTGGTCTGCATTCGACACGTTTGAGCCTCATTTCAGGCCTCTGGTAGTTATTGAGCTTGCAAAAAACACCAAAGAGGAAACCAAAGAATGGCTCACTCAAAGAATTGTGGACAAAAAGAAAAATGGAGGTGAATACAATGGTTCCTTTTCAGAGATTTTGAAATTGTATTGGTGATGTAGTCTATTGTAAATAAATGTCTTGATGCTATGGTAAAGTTAAATTCATAGTGACTTGTTGAGAAACAAGTTTAGCAAGTTTGAGTTGCAGCAAAGGAAGAATATATATATATTTTTTTTAGTGCTTGCCCCTTTGTATATTCCACTCTAGGTGTGCATGTGCCTAGATCAGAGGCTTTTTGGTAAGCAGTGTCTGTTTGGTCTGTGCATGTTCTCTAACTATCCCTGTGTCCCATATCCAAGGTAGAAAAGGTATTGTGGGACCAACTGCTAATTCAGTTCCTTCTTTTCACTTTTGGCCTGAGCTGGAGTGCTTTAGTGTCAGCAGCTTTACTTTAGCGTCTTATTCTTGTGTATGGTACAGTTTAGATTAATTAGTAATTTATGTTTTGTTTGTGTAGCTGTCCGTTGGTTATAGTTATGGGACTAAGGGGGAATTTATTTTTCCTCAGTATTCTGCCTACAACCTTGTTTGTTTGATTAGTGTCTGCCATATGATTATGCATAAGTGCCCCAGTTTTAAATATTGTATAGCTTGTGAGTTTTCCCAATTAATGGAGATCACACTGGTTACCTCTAATTTTTAGGGGAATTGTACAGCCCCTTCAAAGTGAGCATTATGTAGGTGGTTCTTCAGGAGAATAAGGAATTCTAGGGAGACTAAACATTTTCCTTCTGAATCGTTCTGTGAGGGCTGCTTCAGCTTCTGTTCCCTCTGATGCTTGTACAACAGCCAGAAAAACCAAAGAGTGACCCATCAAGCCCTGAATTAGTTAGCTCCAGGGTGCATGCAATTAAGCCTTCATTGAAAGAATCCTGTAAGAAGAGCCATGAAAAAGTGTTTAAAGGAAAATTTAATCATCCTCCCAAGGAACAGAGGGATGCATCTCCCCATAAATCCTCTTTAAAAAATAGGTCAAAATTGCCTTTCTTCTCCAAGTCAAGCAAGACTTCACATCCTGGTACAGATGTTGCATTGAAGGAGCAGGGTACTGGCTTGATGTCAAAGGGCTCTGTGATTGTGCCTGGCACTGAGTCTTTTGGTATGGAGCTCCCCTTGGCACCCTCCCAGTGTGCACTGATTGCTTCCTCATCATTGGCAGTGACTGTTTCTGCAGTATAGGACAGGTTGGTACAGAGCACTACATTGATGGTGTCAAGTATGCCCCATGGTTATAATGCTCTCCAACCTTCAGTACTGATTTGAGGGTTTCTAATGAACCCAAATACCCCTTATTATCTGGAGGCTTAAATTTGCCTCTGGTACTAGAATCAATGCCTCCCTTGGCATCATTTTCCTTTCTGGTACTGACTGTAAGACAGGCTCAGCCTCATACTACTCCTATCCCTGCTGCTGCTTCTCTGGAGTCTGATATATCATATCCATCACTTGACTCTAAGCATAGCATGAGTGACTCACCCACATACTCTCCTAGAGCTCATTCCCCAACTTTAAGCTCAGATAGAGGGTCTAGGTTGTCCTGTCATCTAGAGATAGAGTTCCCATATGGCCCGGGAGCCTTCTCTGCACCCATACAATGTCCCTCAGGGGCGATACTGGGGTTCCTGTACAAGCATCCTTCCTAGGTACCCTTCCAGACAGTAAAGGAGAGAGACATCAACCTGGTCCGATGAGTCTCCTGAGCAGATCTAACAAGAGGAAGAGCCCTCAGAAGAACAAGATCAACCCTGTTGAGAGAGTTCAGTTTTCATAATCCTCTGTGATGCTATCCGATTAAAGTATGACCATACAGATCATTGTTGCAATCTCTGTTATATATTTGCAACAAATCTTGAACAAAATGTGGCATGTAAGATGTCTATGAAAAGGTTATGATTTGCTGAATATGATTATGCTATATGTATGTATGTAGTTTTGTACTTGAAGTTATGAGTATTGGCTCTATTCCTGTATTTCAAATGTTTGCTCCTGGGGTAATGCCTGCAAGGTAGTTAGCCAGCACATCTTGGAGAGACTATTCAAATTAAGTGGCTCATCAAGAAACACTTGACTTGACAGTGGACCATGGGAGACTCCCATCTACATGGAATGAGCTGTCCTGCAAATGTGCTGTTTGAGGTAATGGCTTCTACTGTGTCTAAACCTTCATGCCTGGACATGGGACTTGCCCATGTGACTCCAAACACTATCTTGTCCCCTGTAATTTTCTACTAGCTGTGCTGAGGTTTTTGTTTAAAACAATAGGTTTCTCTCCACATGGCAGAAAATATAAAAGGCCCCGGAAACCCCTCCATTTTGCCTCTATCCTGCTCCAGCGTCTTTTTACTGCCCAAGCCTCTGTACTATGAACTTATACTAATAGGAGCATTCTAACCAATGGACTGAGGACCTTCCAATGATTTGGAAACAGCCAGAGACTTGGCTTAAGCCAGCAGTTTATTCCATCACTGCTACTAGCCTGAACCAAGAACTTTGCAATTACTGTATGTATTTAATTCCTTTAACCTCTTTTAACTTTCTTTCTTTCTTTCTTTCTAATACACATTTAGATTTTAGATACTAAAGGATTGGCAACAGCGTGATTTTTGGGGTAAGATCTAAGTTGTATATTGACCTGGGTGTGTGGTTGGTCCTTTGAGATCAAAAGAACCTTTTATTTGGTGAGATTAGTTTTAAGGAACCGCTCATCTCTAAGTCTAGTATTTTTGGTGGTAATACAAGGACTGGAATGCCTAAGGAAACTGCTTTTATGACTTCTTGTTAGCCAGTATGGTGAAACAGAAGTTTACTTTTTGGCTGGTTTGGTATATCCTATGGGGAATTAGCCACCGGTCTTGGGGTGTATCTGCCCTATTTCTCAGCAGTTTGTCCTGAATTAGGTATCCTCATTTGTGACCCACAGAGGCACGGTTACATCCTCTCTCCTCTTCTCCTGATGAAGCAATGACACCGGTTTCACTTTCATGATCTGATGGCTTTAAAAACTTTCAGGGGATAATGAAAAAAGTAGCAACTTCACTTCAGATCCCTTTAGAGGAGGTTCAAGAGACTCCTAAATTATTGGATGTCCTTCACAACACTATGCCTGGGAGGATTGCTGTTCCTATTAATGAGGCTCTTTTGGACAAAAACTATGACAGACTCCTGCAGCTGTTGCTCGGACTTCAAAAAAGACTGAAAAGAAATATGTTTCTGTTAAGGGAGCCAGGTACTTCTACTCACACCCTGTACCTTGTGGTAGCTGCAGTTAATGAGAGGTGTTAGAGTGGTACTGTTTATTCAACCCCCTATGCTACTGATTCAAAATGTTTAGGCCTATTCAGATGAAAAAAATATTCTGCAAGTTTGCAGTTCCATATATCTAATAACCAAGTTCTTATGGCAAATGATGATGATCTCAATTATAATAAATTCATGGATTTTATTGACAAGTTGTTGCAGGAGCATAGGAAACAATTTCAATTACTAACAATGTAAAGATTGTTAATGGCAAGATCCTCCTTACAAGCATCATTAGACCCTGCAAATACAGCTTCATGCTCTGTGGCAACTTCCACTGTAATGAGTTGTTTGTCCTGTCTCCAATCCTTGGGCATTCCAAGAGAAGTCCAGGCCAAAGTGGACGACCTTCCATATGAGGGCCTTAACCTTTTCAGTGAGAGAATGGAAGTCTCTCTCCACACTTTTAAAGACTTCTAGGCCACTTGATGTTCTCTAAGTATTTACAGCCCTGCAATGAAAAGAATATTCAGAGAGCCTCAATCTTACCCAAGACAGAGGTTAATTCCATGCTCTTTTTATCACCATCTACTTGCACAGCATCCTAGGAAATGTCAAAGGATGCAAAAGAGAAGACCACCTGATGCTTCTACTTTCTCATCACAGTTAGCGGCCACCAGCAAGCATCCCTTTTGATGGGATTGTCAAGAGCTACAGAATGAACATCCCTCCAGCTTTTACTCCCCCTTTCTTCCCGGATTTCCTTCGTAAATTTTCTTTCCTATTTTCAGAGAGCTTGGAATGCTGTTTCATCAGACAAATGGGTATTAGCAATTATTACTACTGGCTATGTAATTCAGTTTCACAGTGTATCCATCCTCACCCACCTTCCTTGTCCCTTTTCAAGGATCTCTCTCATGAGAAGCTTCTCCTCCAGGACATGGATTCTCTCCTTCAACTGGGCACAATAGAACCTCTTCTGCCTCAATATGGAGGGAAAGGTTTTTATCCCCAATATATTTCCTCATAGCCAAGGAAAAAAAGGAGATGGGAACTGATCCTGGATTTCAGAATGCTCAACACCTTCATTTGCCATTTGAGATGCAGGATGGTTACCCTGGCCTTTACTATACCGTTGCTATATCTGGGAGATAGGTTTGTTGTTCTTGACCTCAAGGATGTTTATTTCCACATTGACATTCATCCTACACATAAGAGATTCCTATGATTAGTGATCAGCCCAAATCACTATCAATACAGGATTCTTCCCTTTGGTCTGTCAGTGGCACCAAGGGTATTTATGACATTGTTAGCAGTGGTAGCGATATGCCTATGACAAATTATAGTGGTCTATCCTTTGACTAGCCAGTGGACCAGATATAGAATGTCCTAGCAAGATGCTCAAAATTCCATGAGAATGGTTCAACTCTTCCAGATGCTTGATCATAGGTTTAAGTTGTTAAAAGTTTGATACTAATACAGTATACAGAGTTTTATTGGAGAAAAACTGAATTCCTGGACTGCTAAAGTGTACTTACCTCAAGACATGTTCCAGGCTATGTCTGGTCTGATAGGTTAGCTTAAAACGAGCTGTTGAATAACAGTAAGATCTTGTCTCTGTCTGCTGGGTCACATGGCCTCTTGCACTTTTGTGATGCAGCATGCCAAACTACATCTCTATTGTATGCAAGTTGGGTTGAAGACGGCATACACCCTGACCTTACAAAGTCTGGGCATACTTGTGTAAGTTCCACAGAATATCCTCTGCAT